GGCGACCTGGTGTGGTTTGACCCCGGACTGGGCTATGTGCTGCCGGGGGAGGTCATGGAGTTCCACAGAGCAGGTCAGGTCATCACCGTCCAAGCCGTCATTGGCGGCAAGGTAAGCTCCAAATTCATTCCCTGCTGCTCGTACGCCAAAGTAGACGATTATGTAATAGACTGTGATGTAGTCGAGTAGTGAAGAATATAATGTAAAATTCACATCTGAGGACACCTCTCAACTATCCTACCTGTATCCCACAGTCCCAAGTCTTCACGCTGACCAACGTCTCGTCCGTGCGTCGTCGTCAGGACCTGGGACCCACTGGCGTCGACGACATGATCAGTCTATCGTGAGTTCCTGTCTATCGTCAGTATTTAGTTGGTACTTATGCGGTATCTGTCGTTTAATAATTTATTCTGAAGAGCGAGAATTGTGGAGTTTTTAATACAAGTAATAATAATAATAATAATATTATTATTATCCATTTTTTATTGACACTGTCCTTCAATATTCACATACTTTCAGGGATCTGAATGAAGCGTCGCTTCTGTGGAACCTCAAGATCAGATACGACAAGGAAATGATTTATGTGAGTGTATTGATGTTACTGAGTGTAATGGTTGATGTCTATGAGTGTGTTTGCTGAATCTATTTACTTTTGTGTATGTTAATTTCAGAGTTATTGTTATCTGGCTTTGGATTTAAAAATACGTGTCATAATTCTAATAACTAGTTTTATATTACATGGCGTTTAGCTGTTGTATACATGTATGTGTGACTGCTGTATACATACAGTTCATTTTAACTTTACCTTCGTTCCCTCGTGCCTCGCCAGACCTACACGGGAAGCATCTTGGTAGCGGTCAACCCATACCGGATGTTCGACATCTACGGCCTTGATACTGTGAAAAAATACGAAGGCCAGATTCTAGGCACCTTACCCCCGTGAGTACCCTCAGTGACCTTGCCCCTGTTAGTGCCCTCAGTGATCTCGCCTCTGTGAGTACAGTGACCTTACCCCTCCATTGACGGCCACTTGAAAGTGACTCAATCTAAGCTCATTTACTCTCATTTTCTTCCAGCCACATCTTCGCCATTGGGTCGGCCGCGTACTCCCGCATGAGTAAGGACTCAACCAACCAGTGTGTGGTGATCTCAGGGGAGTCCGGGGCTGGCAAGACAGAGTCCACCAAGTTGATTATGCAGTACCTGGCGGCGGTTAACAAATCCCAGAGCAACCTCATCACCGAACAGATCCTAGAGGCCTCCCCACTCCTCGAGTCCTTCGGCAACGCCAAAACCATAAAAAATGACAACTCCTCCAGGTTTGGCAAATACCTGGAGGTCTACTTTAAGGAGTAAGTGAGAGCGAGGGTTTCCTTCAGGTGAGGGTTAGGATAGAGCAGCATTTTTAGGGTTGGTTTAATAAAATGATCTTTAGGTTCATCATTCAAGGAGGCGCGGTAGGGATTATATTAGGATAAAGGGTGGCGAAGGGAGTGTGGAGAATAGCGGTGTGGGAGAGAAGCGAAGAGAATAGAGAATTGAAATGAGGAAACAGGGGAAAGAAGAAGAAAAGGGATGACCTATTTATGTGTGCGTGTAAATGTATTGAGAACTGACCAGCACTAATGACCCACCGTCCCCCAGCGGAGTGATCACGGGGGCCAGGATAACGGAGTACCTGCTGGAGAAATCCCGTATAGTGACGCAGGCGCACGAGGAGAGGAACTACCATGTCTTCTACGAGCTGCTCGCCGGGCTCCCCGAAGAACGCAAGGCCAAGTACGGCCTCACCTCTGCCGACAAGTACTTCTACCTTAACCAGGTGAGTGTGGGGAGGGAGAAGAGGGTAAGGGTGAGAGGGGGGGGGGAAAGGAGGGTAAGGGAGGGAGCAACCAAAGACTTCACCCACTGACCACCTCCTCCCTCGCACCTTCCTCAGGGCGGGAGCTGCCAACTAGAGGGAAAATACGACGCAGAAGATCTCCAGGCCCTCCTCTCAGCCATGCAGGTCCTCGGGTTCTCCTCCGACGAGCAGGACACTATCTTCAGGATCCTTGCGGCTGGTCAGTTCTTTTCTTTATATGTTAATTGCAAATCCCCAATATTTAATTCACTCAGCCTTGTGCTTTGCAGACTCGAGTTCAGTCTCTTGAAGATCTAGTTATATATAGATTCTTTATACTGTATATATATTATATATTATATATTATATATTATATATTATATATTATATATTATATATTATAATTATATATTCTTTTTTCTCTATAACTGAAATATCGAGTATGAATCATGATTGCTTTAACTAATATGTTATTGCTCATTTGGATATTGTGTTTGCATCTTGTGTGTATGTGTCTCCCACTCCCTCCCTAATTTTCTTTTTAACTCTCTCCTAGACTTCCTCCCTGATTCTCTCCCTCCTTGACTTGCTCCCTGACACTTTACCTCCTTGACTTCCTCCCTGACTCCATCCTTAACTTCTTCCCTCCCTGACTCCATCCTTAACTTCTTCCCTCCCTGACTCCATCCTTAACTTCTTCCCTCCCTGACTCCATCCTTAACTTCTTCCCTCCCTGACTCCCAAACTTCCTCACCTACTGACTTCCAGACTCCCAGACTTCCTACAAGACTTCCTCACCCACTAACTCCCAGACTCTCTCCTCAGTTCTCCACCTCGGCAACGTTTATTTCCACCGGAAGCAGCTCCGCCACGGGCAGGAGGGCGTCGAGATCGGCAGTGAGGCTGAGATCAAGTGGGCGTCGCATCTCCTGCAGATCGACGACGTGGGCATCAGGAGGGCCCTCACCACGAAGATCACCGTGAGTTACCTTTCCTGTAGCCGAGAATGAGGGAAGGTAGCGGACGATGCTGTAGCAGCTGGGGGATATTGATGTTGAAGTGCAGTAGATGTGCGAGATGGAAAGGAATGGAGGTTTCTGTAGGACTGGAAGAGGTATGATGGTAGACTTCTGTAGGACTGGAATGGGTGGGGCTTCGGCATAAAGCAGGATAAGAGGGGGGTTTCCTGTAGACGACCCGAAGGGGAAGATTTGCTAATGCAGGTGTAAGGGAAAGGGGCTGGGAGTAAGGTCAAAGGGTCAGCATTATGCTAGTCAAGTGTAGAGGTAAGCGCGTCTTGACAGGTGAGACAAGAATAGAATTCTTGTGTGAGAGCATCCCAGGTGATGATATGTATACTAATATCAGGATATTATATACGAAAATACACGCACACACACACACACACACACACACACACACACACACACACACACACACACACACACGCACGCACACACACACACACACACACACACACACACACACACACACACACACACACACCAGTTATGTGTAGGTTTGAGCCTTCCACCGCCCTGTACCGGGCTATGAACCGTTATACCATGTATCATCTCTGGACGGAGGCTAACTAACTACTCCGGTCATGCTCCCTGAGGTAAACTGACCCCTCTCTCTCATCTCCCTGGTGCAGGAGGCGAGGAACGAGCGAGTCTTCACGCCCCTCAACATCGATCAGGCCCTGGACGCCCGGGACGCCGTGGCCAAGGCTCTCTACTCGTCCCTCTTTTCCTGGCTCGTCCGGCGGATCAACCAGATCATCCACAAGGGCTCCAGGAAAACTCACATCTCCATTCTCGACATTTTTGGCTTTGAGGTCTTCAAGGTAGGCGCTGTTTATCATGTTGGGGTCCCTTTACCTCATAGGTGTGGGTCTTGACTCTCTAAGGTGTGGTCCTGTTGCTCTTAGGCGTAGTATCTTTCACTTTTTTATGTGGGGCCCCAATTTCCTCCTCATATTTTATCAATTCCTCACTCATTTGTGATCCCTTCCCCCTCTTATATTTAGTCCCTTTCCCCCCAATATGTAGTCACTTCCCCTCCAATATGTGTCCCCCCTTTCCTCAGATATGTGGTCCTTTTTTCCCTGCATATGTGACTCCCTTCGCCCTGATATATGTTTTTTCTCCCTCATTTTCCTGTCATATGTGACCACTTTCCCCCTTATATGTGGCCTCTTCCCTCCCTATATGTAGCTCAACCCTGGCCATTGTTACAGCATATTTTATCATGATCTGTGTTGAACAAAAGACGTAATACAAGGCACAGTGATAAGCTGAAAGACAAAAGAAACACGCCAAGATGTGAAGGGGAAGTTCTTTTGTATGTTGATGAAGGTGAGAGGTGGCTGTTGTGCCTCGTGTAGCCGAGTGGTCACGATGGCGCATAACACTGGCTGTTCTCCCTCACGTACATTAGTATACCAGACCATACACAACCTGCAGATTATTGACGCTTTACTCGTGGTTCCTCAGGAAAACAGCTTCGAGCAGCTGTGCATCAACTACGCAAATGAGAAGCTGCAGTTCCACTTTAATAAACACATCTTCAAGCTGGAGCAGCAGGAGTATGCTAAGGAGAAAATTGAGTGGCAGAATATCGATTTCCAGGTAAGATGTCAGTAAGGAATTGTTTTAAAATAAGTTAAAGATTGTTATTTCCTGATATAAAATAGTTTAATATAATTTGTATAAAGGCATTATTTATGTCACCTTACCTTGCATGTTATATTTCAAACAAATTAGTGATCATTTATTATGAATGATGGATACTATATTGTAAATATATATATATAGATACAAGACCCTCATTGTGGTCATTCCAGTAATACAGAGATAATACAGAGAAGTTGGTATAGCATTGCCCTCTTTACACTTATTATTCAGATGATCCCCCTTTTTTTGCCTGCCCTTATACGTGTTCTGCAGCCCTCCTGTGCTTCTTCCTTCCTGTTTGTCCCTCCCGAGAGTGAGGGTGATAACTAACCTGGTCCCTGGTGCCCTCTAGGACAACCTGCCGGTGATCGAGCTGGTGGCCCGCAAGCCTGTGGGCATCCTTCACCTGCTGGATGACGAGAGCAACTTCCCCAAGGCCACCGACCACTCCTTCCTTGAGAAGTGCCACTACAACCATGCCCTCAATGAACTCTACTCCAGGTCTGCCAAGCATCCTCTTGCCTCTTCCTCCCCTCTTCCCTCTCACTTTCCTCCCTTCTCCTTCCTCTTCTCCCTCTCTCAATTTACCCAGTTCCCCCTTTCTACCCCACACTTGCCTTTAATGTATTAAATAGCACGTTGTTGTTTTGTATTCTTCCATAGCTCCATAAGATGCTTTACAAAAAAGTTTAGTCTTTCACCTCATGTCTTTTCTAAAGTCTTTCTGTCTCTCTTATGAAATTCAATGTTATTATTTAATCACAAATGCAATTTTCTCATTGTGCATGTACCCCCCACCCCCAACCCCCCATGTGTTGGTATTGTATGCAATCTCATTCAAATCTGTCTCTTGTTCGAATCTCTCTCTCACTAAAATCTGTCTCGAATGTGGTTCACATGTTGTAACGTTTGTATATACCTGCCACAGGCCGAGGATGTCGTCTATGGAGTTTGGGATCAAGCACTACGCGGGACAGGTGTGGTACAGCGTGGAAGGTTTCCTCGACAAAAATCGTGACACACTCAGAAACGATGTGGTGGAGCTACTTATCTCCTCCAAGCTCTCTGTGAGTCCCTCTCTTGTGTGTGTGGCTCAAGGAATGCAGTTTACAGGAATTAGCCTTGACTGTAAATAGACATTTGCTGGAATGATTTGCTACAGCTATTCGAGTGATTAGATTTTGTAAATCTCATTCAAGTAGATGGAATTAAGTAAGCTCATGTAGGTGACGAGACTTGATAACATTCATATGAGCTAGTAGACTTGATAACATTCATATGAGCTAGTAGACTTGATAAAGCACGTCCTGGTTAAACACTGTCTACAGTAAAGGCTGTCCGTGTGAGATGTGTCTTTATATATTTGTTGGGAGCAGTTGCCTGGCACCTCTGGTAGTGCTTAAGTTTCACTGCTTCTCGTATGATTACATGAACGCCACCTCCTTCCTAAACTTTTATTTACCTTTACATCATTTTTACTTTTTACAAAACCTTTTCGCATGTTATGACATTTATATTTATTCCCTATATCATACTTTTTTCAGTTAATCTTTTATTCGCTTTTACTCATCGTTATTATTACTCTTTACTATCAAACTTTTTCATATATGGTATTAATTGGTTGTGGTGTTGGGGACGTGTGTTGCAGATGTTGTCGGAGATGTTCCTCGACGTCCGGCTGTCGTCTGAGAACAAGACTTTAACCAAGGCCAATGGTCGCTTTGTTACCATGAAGCCCAGGACCCCCACCGTCTCCGCCCGCTTCAACGACTCCCTCACCCATCTTATCGAGGGCATGGCCAAGTGAGTATCCCTGCTTCCTCCTGTTGTTACCGCCGCCTTCCTCCTGGTGGTGTATCTCTACTTCTTTCCAGTGGTTCCTTCTTGTTTCTTTATTGTCACACTTTCAGTTTCTTCTCTTGCCCCCGAAATATCCGAAATTCATTACATTCTTCTTTCCCTCATTAACTCCTTTCCTCCCTCCCTCGCTTATTCCATCCCTCCCTCCCTCGAATTCCCCCTCTAGCTTGTTCCCTCTCTCCTTGCCCTGCAATTCGTTAACACTTCTCCCTCCCCCTCCCAGGTGTAACCCATGGTTTGTGCGTTGCATTAAACCCAACAACGAGAAGGCGCCATTGAAGCTGGACATGCCCTGCGTCCTCGAGCAGCTCCGGTACTCTGGGATGCTGGAGACCATCAAGATCCGTCAGCAGGGATTCCCAGTGCGCTTGCGGTTCAACCTCTTCTCTGAGCGGTACCGATGCCTCGTTCCTGGCCAGGTACCGAGGGTGAGTGGCTCTTGGAGTTGGTGCAAGCTCTTGGTGCATGTTGTTGAGTGTGTGTGGCTCTTTTAGGGGGGCTGCAAGCTCTTGTTGTATGTTGTTGAGTGTGTGGCTCTTGAAGGTGCATTGTTAAGACTAGTAATAATGTGTACAAAACAATGAAATGAGAGGATGCTAAGGGTCTCAAATATTTGGTGTTAGTGTGTGCTTCCTTTAGATGAGAAACTGGATCAGTACTCTATAAATGAGTATCGGATAAATATGTTTTGGCGCTGAATTAATTAGTATAATCTTTTAGTTGATTACAGGTTAGCATTTCCCAGCGTACACAATATGTGCATGAATACACACACAAAAGCCCAAGACTTTTAATGATATTCCAGTGTATGGATGATGATCAAGTATCTATTATAATAGTACAAATGTCCTTCTTATGAGTGATTTCAACCACTCATAATTAGAATGGGAAACGAGAAATCCACTTAAAAGCAAAACTATGTGGATCACTCAACTATTTACGGCCATAGAGTAAAACTTTCTGATGTAGATTAAGAGGTGAACTTTCCTATCTGACGTTACAGTAACCCAACTATATAAGAAGAAAGGCAACGGCATTAGACCAAATTACGCGCTGAAAAAATGAAAAACCGTCACATAAAGCTACAATGACCTCTGGAAGTAGTTAAACATAAGATCCCCGATTGTCCTCAATACCGAACCAGACATCCCCATGGCACTGGGGAAGGGGGAGGGGCAGACAAGGAATAGAGGCAACATTGAACAATATTAAAGTATCCGAAGAGGAGGAAGAGAGAGCCAATAATGCATCAACAAGGCTACAGGACAAGACCAATTTGTTTTATAGCTTCTGAAACATGCAGCAGGAATACTATGTAACCCATTAGTTTACTATGCAACATATTAGTGAATAAAAAACTTCTGGATATCTGAAAAATTGGAAAGCTACTGCGGGAGTCAGCAAAGATAAGGGCCTGGGAGAGGTGATAAGGCCACCAGAGGCACATATAAATGAAATTACTTCGTCAGGATAGATAAAATTAACAGATATAGGAACATTTAGAAATCTATGCAAAGAATCATTTAGAACATTATAAGGAGTCTGAAAATATGCAGCCACAGTGTGGAATAAGAAAATAGAAAAGATGTAGAGATTTGCTTCGAGATGAGTACCAGAGAGAAGTAACCTGAGTTATGGGGCCATATCAAAGAAATTTCAACCTAACAAACACTAACAAACCAACCTAACAAACACTTGGGACCAAAGGACCAAAGCTCAACCCCCGCAAGCACAATTAGGTGAGTACTAGAAAAATGAATGACGAGAGGTGATAAGATCACAACGTATAAGATCCTGAGAGGAATAAAAGTTAAATGGATTGAGATGATCATTTCCAGGGAAAGGATGGCAGAACGAGGGAGGACACAACTGGAACCTAAAAATATAAATTTGTATAAAAAAAATAAGGAAATATTAGTTTCCAGTGAGAGTGGAAAATAAATAGAACCCTCTTTGGTCCTCCCTAGCTGCCCTCTTTCTCTTTACTTTTCCCTTTTCCTCCTATCCTTTCTTTCTTTCTTCCCCTTTATTATCTTGTGTTTCTTCTTTCCTCTCTGTCTTCACCTGTTCTTGCTTACTCTCCCAGGGGGCGCCATCGAAGGAGATCTGCCGGGTGGTGTTGGACCATATGTCGAGGGGGAGCCGGGGAGCCTTCCAGCTGGGCACCACCAAGATCTTCATGAAGGAGGCGCTGGAGCAGACGCTGGAGCAGGAGAGGTACAAGAGGCTCTCTCATTCCGTCATCACCCTCCAGAGGCACGTCCGGGGCTACCTCGTCCGTAGGAGGTGAGCGCCAGCTGTTGTGATAGTAGCACTGGATGTGATAGTGACAGAGTAGTAATAGTAGTTGATGAGGTAGTTGTCATTGCCGGGGGCAATAGTAGTTGGGGGAACGGGAGTAGTAGTGATGGTAGCTATTGTATTACCATAACCATTTTTCACTGTTGTTATTATCTACATCACCACTATTATCAACACTATCACCACCACCACTACCTCGACCATTACAACTATCGTCATCACTACCACCATCACTAGCATCATTACATCTCCATTACAACTATCACCACCAAAACCACAACCACTATAACCACCACAGCCACCACCACAACAACAACCAGCAGCAACATTATCACCATTCACATTGTTTTTCACTATGTTGAGCGCAGGTACCGGGCACAGCAACGGAGCGCAGTTTTGGTGCAGTCTGTGGTGCGCATGTGGATGGCCCGCCGGAGCTACCGCACACTGCGCAGCGCTGTCATCAAGGCGCAGGCGCTGGCCAGAGGGAGGAGGACGCGAAGACTCTACGCCAGACTTAAGGTTAGTGCATGAAGTGGCAAGTTGGGTCTTCCTCAGGTCTTGAAGGAGCAAGTTGGCTCTTCTTCAGGGCCTGAAGAGTCAAGTTGGTTCTTCTTAAGAGTTTGAAGAGGCAAGTTTGCTTTTCTTCAGGTCTTGAAGAAGCGAGTTGGTTTTTCTTCAGGGCCTGAAAGAGCAAGTTGGCTCTTCTTCAGGACTTGAAGGAGCAAGTTGGCTCTTCTTCAGGACCTGTAGAGTCAAGTTGGCTCTTCTTCAGGACCTGAAGAGTCAAGTTGGCTCTTCTTCAGGTATTGAAGGGGCACGTTGGCTCATGAGGGCTTGAAGGGGTAAGTTGGCGCTTCTTCAAGGATTAAAGGGGACAAATTGGCTCTTCGAGGCTTAAAGGGCAAGTTGACTCCTCTTCAGGGCTTGAAGGGGCAAGTTAGCACTTCTTCGGGGCTAGAAGAGGTCAAGATGGCTTTCCTTCAGGGCTTCAAGACGGTTACCACCACTCACCATCCACCCTTACCCTTGACCACCTGCAGGAGGAGATGGCCCGACGGAAGAAGGCGGAGGAGCTGGCGAAGCAGAGGGCAGAGAGAGAGGCTCGCCAGAACCAGGCAGAGCAAGAGAGAGTCCAGCGCTCGGTCGCTGGGGTCAACCACCTGGAGATTCCCGCCGAGTTGGCCTTCATCCTCTCCAAGGTCAACGGTGAGTGCCGGACGCGACCTTTCTTCCCCTCTCTATTGCCATTTAATGCCACTGCGACCTTTGCTGACCTTTCCTTAAGGGTTGAGAGTGCGTAAGGGTTTTCGTATAGGGTGTTCCTGTGCCGTAGTTGACCCCTAGTAATTTGTATCATTTACGAAATGTATTGTCAGTGGCTAATGACAGAAATGACCTTTTGTTAAATACTGGAGATGGGTTTAGACTTACGTAAAGAAAGGGGTGAGAGAGAGAGAGAGAGAGAGAGAGAGAGAGAGAGAGAGAGAGAGAGAGAGAGAGAGAGAGAGAGAGAGAGAGAGAGAGAGAGAGAGAGAGAGAGAGAGATAAGACAAGGGCGACTGGCCAGTTTGCTGTCTCATGTTTAGCGTTCACTAAACATGCGTTTTATGGGCTCTGACGCGGAACCCAAAGTATCCGAGTATGAGCGTGTGTGTGTGTGTGTGTGTGTGTGTGTGTGTGTGTGTGTGTGTGTGTGTGTGTGTGTGTGTGTGTGTGATGGAGGGCCTTCAAGTCTGGCGACCTGGCACGGCAAGGCTTCTGGGAGACTGCCTCCTATGGGACCATGATTATGTGGGAACTTCTGTTATGTCATACTCTTGCTGGTGATGGATGGGCTCACTGGTGTGACGAGAGGAGAGAGAGAGAGAGAGAGAGAGAGAGAGAGAGAGAGAGAGAGAGAGAGAGAGAGAGAGAGAGAGAGAGAGAGAGAGAGAGAGAGAGAGAGAGAGAGAGAGAGAGAGAGAAACGAACTAAAAAGGTAGGTAATATTTGTGTAGTCTGCCTCTGTCTCTCTCTCTTTCTCTCTCTCTTTCTCTCTCTCTCTCTCTCTTTCTCTCTCTCTCTCTCTCTCTCTCTCTCTCTCTCTCTCTCTCTCTCTCTCTCTCTCTCTCTCTCTCTCTCTCTCTCTCTCTCTCTCTCTCTCACACACATTAATTTCCAAACAATGAATTGAATACTTTAGCTCAAACTCTGTATATAAGTACCAGTTTGGAATAAGCCATCATCCTGTGGTTAACCCAGGTTAATTTTGGTTTATTTAGGCATGCAAGCCTGAAGTAACAATTAGCTAGAGTAAAGACTGGCTGTTACGCTGCTCGACGGAACAACTGTGAGGAGTTTTGCTACACTTTGAGCCTTATCGTGTCGTTTATTTTCTCAGATTCAGTTGTTCAGTGATTTAATGGTTGTCTGCTTTGTTTGTTCAGTTTGCCCGAACCACTATGCCTGTTAGTGGCTTTGCAAGAATGTAAAAATATTACTCTAATGTAATCTCACCAACCCTTTGTTCCTTCTTGTAAATAAAATATTATTATTATTATTATTATTATTTGTTCAGTGGCTTTGGGGTTGTCTGCTTTATTTGATCAGTGGCTTTGAGTTTGTCTACTTTATTTGATCAGTGGCTTTGGGTTTGTCTACTTTATTTCTTCAGTGGCTTTGGGTTTATCTACTTTATTTGATCAGTGGCTTTGGGGTTGTCTGCTTTATTTTTTCAGTGGCTTTATGGTTGTCTAATTTATTTTTTCAGTGGCTTTATGGTTGTCTACTTTATTTTTCAGTGGCTTTATGGTTGTCTACTTTATTTGTACAGCGGCTTTGGGGTTGTCTTGATAGATTCATTGTAGCTTTTTCTTACTTCTTTTTCATCGACATGACAAACACGTAAGAAAACTTAGTTAATTTATACGTGTTATACAATTGTTTAATGTGAATCGAAATCAATGTTTTATTGAGAGAAGGTCTCCACAAGATATTAGTTCTCATCCTGAACACACCATTTTCTTTATTTGGCAGGGAAAGCTTAAAAAAAACGAGACTTAGAATAATAAATAAAAGGAGTAACTTTAGAAAGTGAAGCCACGTTTAGCATGAAGATCATCAGTGGAGAACGGATGGAACAAAAGACATTGTAAAGAACGCAACACAAATAACATCAAAAGAACACAAGCGTTAGAGAACAAAGGCATCAGCAGCTAGGCAGAACATTCCATAGAGTACAGTAAAGGTATTGAGGAAAGGGAGATGGGAGAGTAAGTGGGAGAGTGAGGAGAGTGAGAAAGGAGAGTGAGGAGAGTGAGAGAGTGAGGAGAGTGAGAGAGTGAGGTGGAGAGGTTGATAGAGAGGTGGAGGTAATAACTTGTCACTTCCGTGATAGAAGTTGACGTAGCCCGTTCTCTTGATTTGCCACAAGGTACAAAATACAAAGCGCTCACCTAACCAGGAACGTACGGACCGAAGCAACCCCAACCTAACCTAACCTACCCATGCATAGAAAACGTGGATATATGAGCCGCTGCTTCTCACAGTACCTTGTAATTTGTATGTTGCGGGCCATAACGTTCAGAATGAGACGTAATAGACGAGAGAACGATACCAATACACGATCACTCGTTTGTGTACTCACCTGGTTGTACTCACTAAGTTGTACTCACTAGGTTGTATTCAGCTGACTGTACTCACCTGGTTGTACTCTTTTCTTTGAGTGTGTATTCACCTAGTTGTGCTTGCGGGGGTTGAGCTCTGCTCTTTCGGCCCGCCTCTCAACTGTCAATCAACTGTTTCTACTACTACTACTGTTTTTTTCCCACACCACACACACACCCCAGGAAGCAGCCCGTGACAGCTGACTAACTCCCAGGTACCGATTTAATGCTAGGTTACAGGGGCATAGGGTGAAAGAAACTCTGCCCATCGTTTCTTGCCGGCGCCCGGAATCGAACCCGGAACCACAGGATCATGTGTACAGCGTGCTGTACGCTCGGCCGGCCGGCTCCTCTGTGTGTGTGTGTGTGTGTATGTGTACTCACCTAGATGTGCTTGCAGGGTTGAACATTACCCTTATCCTGCCTTACTAATCTCTGGTGAGTTGTGTGTAATTACCTAACTGTAATTACCTAAGTGTAGTTACAGGAGGAGAGTTACACTCATTGTGTCTCTCATTCACTGTAGTACTCTGTCATGTAACGCTTTGAAACTTCTGACGGTTTTGGCCTCCGCCACCTTCTCACCTACGCAGTTTAAACCACTGTTTGCAAAAGAGAACTCTCTAAGAATTTTTCGGCACCCTTGTTTACCTAATTGAATCTATGACTTCTTGTTCTGAAAGTTGTGTGTACATTTCCTATTTATATGTACTATTTGTCTTTGCAGGATCGAGTTGTTAGCTCTTGGACTATGCCTTTTTAACCGTTGATTGTCTAATTTTCCTGTATCATATATGAATAAATATATCTCTCTCACACACATTCCCAGCATGCAATCAGTACCAGCTTACTCCCAGTTACCTATTTACTGGTAAGTGAACAGTGCCACCAGTTGAAAGAAGTTCTTCCCATTTGTTTCTGCCTCGGCTGGAAATGGAACTTGGGCCCTTTTGATTACGACGCTTCAGTGCTGTTCGCTTGGCTGTGAGGACCTGAGTGTGTGTGTGTGTGCGTGCTTCCTGGCTATATGTGTATACATAAAAGTTTATACTGTATATATTTTTGGGTGGAGGGGGCACTCGGTGCGCGTGTTGACGTTCGCGTAGTCCCATTAGTGTTCGTGTGCAGGAATCCGGCTTTCCAGACGCAACCGTCGGTCGGTGAAGAAGTGATGCCGCCACGCTCGTCTGGGGAGAGAAAGTCCTTCTTTATCATGTGTTTTACCAGTGTTGTGGTCGCATATCTTTCTGGTACTTACCTTTGTTCGCTTCTTATACAAGACGAGGATATAAAATGCGATAATAATGCTAAACAGATTTGAATACATTGATGATGTCAACTGTAGAGTTTTGTAGCTATTAAGGACACGCACATATTAAGATATGTTATGTATTCCCGTTGGGCCATAGAAACCTGTCAGTCTTGGTCCCATTTTTCCTGACTGTGCGTTCGTCTAAGTTTGTGTTAACATAACATGGAGTATAGAGGAGTAACACGGTGACTGTACTGCGGATCGAGCGCAATTGTCCGGTCGGGGTTTCCCTGGAAATATGAAACGTGTGTGGGCGTCGTCTCTCCGGCTTAGGATGTATTCGGGGGATAATGTAGTGTTTACATTTTGAAATTGTGCAAAATGGGGCAAGTAATCTACGCACCTATAAACTTAATCATTATAATAAACTTGACTGTTTCTCTGCTATGGTTGGTTACTTAAACATTACTGGTGCCCTCTATCGTCTGGCTCGTGAGTTACAACGCCGTCGCTGGCCAAGCAGGGAGCACACTAAGTAGTGAGTCTGGTGGTGGCTACGCGCGGAGGATCGCCGTGCGGCTCTGTGCCAGCGAACAGTATCAGTGAACAGAACCTTACTGCACAACCTGGTGGTTGTCGTGGCCGCAGACATCACTGGAGCAGCAGTCTACTGGCTCGTGCTTAATTAAGTAGGCAGGTTCAACTGGACCTCCTGGTGCTTGAAACTGCTGCTATTGGAGGTTGGAAGAAGAGGAGGAAGAACAGCGACCAGGAGTCCATCAGGCCTGCTTGTCTGAAGGCTGACTAGAGGCAGAAATTCTGGTGACCGTGGTGCTATGTCATGGTGTTTTGCGAGTCTGGATGGGCATCCACTTCGAGTCATGTTGGGCTGTGTTGCGTTTACACAGCCGCCTGCCATCTTAAGGTGGTGGTCCTCCACTACCTGGGATACGGTACGTACCTCTTGCTCTGCGTATCCTGTTGGGGAGAGGGTTGTAGCGCTACAGTAAACACACTTGTTTATAACACATTGTTGTCTGCATTCTGGGGTTCCACGTAATGCTTCATGGCCAGAGATAAGCATCTGCGCGCCACGCACACTGGAGAAAGCTTCCGTTTGCTTTATTTAAGCTAAACTATTCGATTTTTCCAATATAAACAATGTTACAAGAATAATTCTTTCATTTTGTTTGTTATTAAAAGTTCAATATACACATAGCATGGAGAAAAATGATAAGTGGGGGGAGGGGCATACAAGGCTCGGTACTTGGACCATTACTGCTCCTGATTTATTTAACTGACCACCTGAGGAAGAGGAGTCCTACATGTGTAAGAACCCAGGAAGACTCCGTACTTGTTCCACTAATGGTCAGATAAATTACCGGAATGGATAAGCGCATGACTACTGGAGGTTAATCCTAAATATTGTAAAGTAATGAAGTTTGGAATAGAAGAGAGGAGACCAGAATGATAGCACAATACACGAAGGATTCAACTACAACAAAGTTAACAAAGGCAGCAACACCTGGGTGTGGATGTAACACCAAGAATTAACAGAGGAACTGTTCTGTTAATGTTCTGTTACAATTCTGTTACTGTGTTCAAAGGAACACATTAACAGAATTATATCAGCTGCATATGCAAGATTAGCTAACCCAATGAGAAACTAGACGATCCAAAGATATGCAACGAGACTTGCTCCTGAGCTGAAGGATTGAGTTACGAGGAAAGACCGAGAGAACTAGATCTTACCAACTGGAGGAAAGGAGAAATAGGTGGGGATATGATAACAACATATAAGATTCTAAATGAAACTGACAAGGTAGATAAAGCAGCATTGCTCAAAGCTAGGACTGCCAGAACGAGGGGCCAGAGATGGAAATTCGAGACACAAAAGAATAACAGAAACGGAACAAAGAAGCTTTTCAGTGTTAAGAGCTGTCAATCAGGGAAATAGGTTAGACCTAGAAGTTGTTGGAGCTAATTCGATTCAACGTTTTAAATGTTAATATGACAGAAGCGGGAGAAATGAGTCATTGCATTAATATAAGAATGTTCAGAAGGCGGGGCTAGGAGCCTAGCTCGACCCTGCAAGCACATCTATGTGAGTACACACACACACACTAGGTGAGTACACACACACTAGGTGAGTACACATCCACTAGGTAGGTACTCACATAGACAATCACACATTCATCAGCCACTTAGAAAGAGTAAGGATGGTTGATGTGTTGGGACACGTGAGAGGAGAGATGCTTGGTGTGCCATGACTTCCAAGGTGAAATATAATTGTTTACGGTCTCAACTGTATCGTGACTTCTCTTTGAGTATCATGTTGAGATGTATTCCAACCCTCTGAACTCTGGGCGTTATCAAGCAATCACTGTTATATTGGCGAGGGGTTGACCCGTCCCTACATGTTTTGTATAACTCTCTCTCTATCTCTCTCTCTCTCTCTCTCTCTCTCTCTCTCTCTCTCTCTCTCTCTCTCTCTCTCTCTCTCTCTCTCTCTCTCTCTCTCTCTCTCTCTCTCTCTCTCTCTCTCTTTCTTTTTTCCTTCTTTCCGTGATTCAAGGGAATAAAATGGTATTACCATCGACACTGTAGATTGACAGTTTATATAGCGTGGATGAAAGGTTAATTACCCCGAACACCGCTGATCAGTAATGGAAGGTCCTGTATAGTACCAGCATGATCGGGAAGCGTTGCAATAACTGCATTTCCCACACACAGTATGAGGGTAGGGCAGGCCAGCTGGTCTAATGGGGGTCTTCCATTACTTATAGTAGTGGGCTGCGACTCTGGGAGCTCGAACACCCTTCCCAGCAACCACACACACACACACACACACACACACACACACACACACACACACACACACACACACACACACACACACACACACACACACACACACACACACACACACACATACCCATATACACACACACACACACACACACACACACACACACACACACACACACACACACACACACACACACACACACACACGTGTGTGTGTGTGGAGAAGAGGATTAAGGTGTAATTTTATTCTTCTGTGTCTGTCTGCGACGGACGATTCAGGTTCAGAACACCGTCATTTTCATACTGTCTCTCTGGTATCTCCACCACTACACCTCCTCCTCCACCTCTTCTTCCTCCTAGTCTCCTCCACCTCTTCCTCTTTCTCCGTCTCATCCTCCTCCTCCTCCTCCTACGTCTCTTCTTCCTCCTTCTCTTCAGTGCTCGCATTTTTGTTATCCTCCTCCATTACCCTCTTCTTCCTCTATCCCCTCTTTCTCCTCCATATCCCACTTCCTCTTCTACTACTCCGAAGAATGAACAAACAAACATTGTGAGATACGCGGAGAACAAGAGAGATACAACCATATAACCAGAGAAGTAAACAATCGAGTAGGAAGAGAATGCCAGAGAGAGAGAGAGAGTGAGAGAGAGAGAGAGAGAGAGAGAGAGAGAGAGAGAGAGAGAGAGAGAGAGAGAGAGAGAGAGAGAAAACAAGTGGATAGACGAAGCTATAAAATCACAGATATTTTGACACTAGTTGTCTCGGCTGAGTTGTGATGAGGGCCAAGGAAGGCGGTGTTGAATATTATACAGTGGCCAGTGTGGAGAGTCACGCCAGGCACCTGCAAGGGGGCTCCACAAGCACCATCATCGCCCTCAAGCACCATCACCACTATCTACACTACAAGCACCACCATCACTGTAGACACCGTCACCACTACCACCACTACAAGCACCACCATAACCACCATGTATTGACAATAGTGCATCTACAGGAAGCAATGGTGCACTGTCGAGAGAGAGGAAGCAGAAAATTATTTTAGTTGAGAGACCACAACATGACTTTGTGTAGGCTTCGATGACCACATTCGCATATAACATGATGAGGGAGTTATAACATTGCCTTATGCAAGTCCTTCACTTATACATGCATAAAATACTAAGAAATTATGTATTTTCCCCATTACTAGGCAGAGTAGCGGGCGCCACACGGCCTGCAGGCGATGCTTCCCCCTCTCGTCAGCATACTGGAGATCAATATACCGCTAGTATGCTGAATATATAATATCGCTAGTATGCTACGTACAGAATATCAACAGCAAGACGATTTTGAGGTCCCATGAATGAACCTATATGAAAGTGCAGTATTTGTTTTCAGAAGGAACCAAAGGTCGACCTGATACTTGTGGCTGGTGTTGGGAATGGGTCTAGTAAGGTAAAAATAATTTAAATAACTATTATTTATTATGTATTAATAATAAATAAAGTAATGGTTAAAATAACCCGAACGTGTGAGGAAGTTGAATACTTTCATTTATCAAAATAACTGATAACAGGTCTAAAACCAAAGTTTACAACTTCTAATATCCGAAATTTCGAATTTTAGGTGAAATGCCCTAACTAACTGCTAATAGCTCTAACGATCGTTACTGATCTACACGATAACGGTCACTACTGTTCAACACCAACAGTTGCAACGGCCACAATTTTCCATAGATTGCAACGGCAACTATTGATCTCCATCACAGGTCTCTTCTGGTCATCACCAACGGTAATAACCGTCACCTTTAACGGTCTTAACGGCCGCTGCCAAGTGTAATAGTGATGGCAAACAGCCATCAACATTCAATGGCATTGAAAGTGCGCCTGCGTGGTCACAGGCCGAAGGACAGCGAGATGCATGAACAATTCTGAACTGTTGAGGTCTTCCTCCGTGCCTTATCAACACCCAACAGTTAAACTATCGTGAAAAAAGAGGAATTGTTGTTTATACTGTTAAATGGGTGGTTATTGATTAAGTGGAGGAGGGCGTACGTGCGCGCGTGCGTGTGCATGAGTGTGTTTTATTTTCAAATTGTCCCTTGCCTGACGCTGGGTGCACGCACACTACGCACTCGCGTGCGTCTTCACATCTCCTTTGAGGTGGTTGACTTAGGTTGTTAACTCCCCAAGTCAGTATCTACTTCATGTCAGAATGGTTTAAGTACATCGTATAGCCACGGTTGCTGCCGAAGTAAGTTCGAAATGTGTTTGAACATTTTCTTAATCCATTGAAGAGTTCTGCGTGATATTCTTGTCAACTACTACTCTAGAACCCCCCCGTTAAAGTCTCCTGTACTCTAAGCTGGCTACTTGCATGCTAAGTTCGTTTCTAAGTGTATTAAGCTGGCTAATAGGCTAAGCTGATCTGTACTGTATAATCAGGCTTTTTGCATACGTATCTGCCCTCCTGGTGACGACTAAGGTGGCTGTATCTTCCCCACATAGATTGGCAGAAGCCCCATGGAGACCGGAACATTGTGCGGGCGGGGGCGCCGGTCCGGCCCGCTGCCATCCACTACAGCCTGCCTCACGATATCGACTACCACCCGTACTCCAAGTTCACCAGCATCTACTTCAAGGTAGGAGGCCGTAGACGGCGGGCAGGAAGGAAGGCAGTGACAGGCGGAAGGAAGTGGGGAGACAGTAAGGGAAGAAAGGGAAAAGTTAGTAATTAGGGGAAAAGTTATCGAAATTCGAGAAACAACAGTTCGCTGTGTCTGCATATTAATATATCCACTAGATGCTATATGCCAGCCCCCTATGTATCCAGCAGGAACCACATGATAGCCCCTCCCCCAATGTAGCCACCAGGTACTGCGTAATAGCCCCTCCCCCACCTACCACCACCACAACGGCCCGTATAACCAGTCCCTCCCCCAACAGTCACACATCTGGGGGATGAAGAGGGAGCCCATCAAGACCCCGTTCCTCTCCAAGTCTCGGGACGCCGACTACAGCGACTCTCTGGCCGTGTTCAAGCTCATCCTTCGCTACATGAACGATCATACACTCTCAGGCGTCAGGGAGACCGTCCTCGGCAACTACATCGCTAACAAGGTACTTCCTTCCCTCTTGCTACTCTGCTACAAGGTATATCCCTCCCTGTTGGTACCCTACAACCAGGTATACTCCCCTCCTACCTACAGACATTATCTCTTATAGATATGGATAGATAGATAGATATATATGTGTGCGTTTTACCACCTACTATGTGTTGATTCCTGCTGACTTCTATTGCCCTGGTGACCTGCTACAGGGTCTTGTGAATGAGCGGCTACAGGACGAGATACTGTGCCAGCTGACCAACCAGACTTGGCGCAATGACAACACCGCTAATGCTGAGAGAGGCTGGCTCCTCTTGGCCAACTGTCTCTCTGTCTTCCCTCCCTCCTCCACTCTCTACAAGTACATCCTCAAGTAAGTCACAGCATCGTCACTCCTTACAATTATTATTTTTGTAATTATATAAGCAATTTTCAACGTATAAATTTTTCCACTGATTTTTTTTTTTTATTATATTAATATTTTTGATTTCCTCTGAATTTCCTTTGAGAAGTTATGTAATTAATTAATTATTTGATATTCAGCTCCAGCAGGTCGACTTTTTTTTTAATGATTTTTTATGTTCGTCCAAATAGAGTACCATCTTCATGTTAAGTCCCTCATCCAGTATTGTGTTAATTTAACTTGTGATTCTAACGTGTGTTATCCCCCTCCCACCACCTCAGGCACGTGTCAGACCATGGTCTCAATGGGTACGCTGGTCTGTGTCAGCGGAAACTGCTCTCATCTCACAAGAGGTCATCTGGGGTGGCCCGCACCTTCCCCCCGACTGACCTGGAGTGGAGGGCCAATCGCAAGAAGGCTCGCATGGCCCTCGAGGCTCGCTTCTCGGACGGTGAGCCCGTGTGTGTGTGTGTGTGTGTGTGTGTGTGTGTGTGTGTGTGTGTACTCACCTAATTGTGCTTGCGGGGGTTGAGCTCTGGCTCTTTGGTCCCGCCTCTCAACCGTCAATCAACTGGTGTACAGATTCCTGAGCCTATTGGGCTCTATCATATCTACATTTGAAACTGTGTATGGAGTCAGCCTCCACCACATCACTTCCTAATGCATTCCATTTACTAACTACTCTGACACTGAAAAAGTTCTTTCTAACGTTTCTGTGGCTCATTTGGGTACTCAGCTTCCACCTGTGTCCCCTTGTTCGCGTCCCACCAGTGTTGAATAGTTCATCCTTGTTTACCCGGTCGATTCCCCTGAGGATTTTGTAGGTTGTGATCATGTCCCCCCTTACTCTTCTGTCTTCCAGTGTCGTGAGGTGCATTTCCCGCAGCCTTTCCTCATAACTCATGCCTCTTAGTTCTGGGACTAGTCTAGTAGCATACCTTTGGACTTTTTCCAGCTTCGTCTTGTGCTTGACAAGGTACGGGCTCCATGCTGGGGCCGCATACTCCAGGATTGGTCTTACATATGTGGTGTACAAGATTCTGAATGATTCCTTACACAGGTTCCTGAACGCCGTTCTGATGTTAGCCAGCCTCGCATATGCCGCAGACGTTATTCTCTTTATGTGGGCTTCAGGAGACAGGTTTGGTGTGATATCAACTCGTGTGTGTGTGTGTGTGTGTGTGTGTGTGTGTGTGTGTGTGTGTGTGTGTGTGTGTGTGTGTGTGTGTGTGTGTGTGTGTGTGTGTGAGGGAAGGAGAAATAGAGGGAGGAAAGAGTATAAGGTTGGTTCCTACCCTTGCGGGCTACCTAGTACTCTCTTTGAAGAGCTGGGTCTAGCTCCAGCACCCCGCCTCTTAGCTGTAGTACCTGATCCGTTTATACATCCCTACTTTCTAGTACTTGTTCTGAAGCAGTGAATGGTAGCTGCTCCCACCACCTCTGGGTTCAGACTAGTTCCAGTCGTTTGTCACTCACTGCAGGCGAGTATTTCCTGGCATTTCCCCTGGCTCTTCTGTGTTTCCTACGTTGTCCTGTGACCCTTTGTTTTGTTATCACTCACTTAAAAAAGACCCCTCGTTTTGTTATCCCTCACTAAGAAAGACCCCTCGTTTTGTTATCCCTCACTTTTAGTTCTTTAAACTAGAACTTAGTTGGAAACATTGGGACTAAGATTTAGTTCTCTTAGCCTGCTGTCACAGCTTATCTCTCATACATCTCATGGTTGTCTCGTGGCTTATCTTTAGCTATTCTAAATGTTCTTATTGTGGTTTACAAGGTGTCGGTTCCATGCTGGAGCTGATAAATCTTGGACTGGTCAAACATACCTGTACACTATTTTGATGGATTATTTGCTTGTGTTCTTTATAGTAATCCTGCATGTTTACTAGTTTTGCATATGCTGCTGAGGAGGTTTTGTTGATATGTACCTCTGATGTTATGGCTGCTGTAATGTCCATTACCACGACTTTTAGTCTTTTGTAATTCTTGTAGTTGCCTCCCCCAAATGCTGTACTTACCTTCTAACTCACTTGCATCTGCGGGAAATGGATTCCATCTCTTGGGCTGTGTCTCCTACCTGGCTGTATTGTAGTGTGTGTGTGTGTGTGTGTGTGTGTGTATACTGTTGGGAGGTCATGAGGGAAGGAGTCGAGACTCAACGATAGATATATTCAAACTGGAACAGACAAGGAGAAAGAAGACATATACAGAAATATAGAAAATTAGCAAGAAATAGATGAATAGTGGGTAAGAAAGAGAAAGTAGATCCAGCATCAAGTAATTATCCCTTTATATATTTCATGTATATCATCAATTTTAATTATTTTGTCACACAACACACTGCTAGAGAACTTTATCACTATGCACACGGTGTCGACTGGTTATCTTGTAAACACAAATATAATACTTCTTACATCCATCGCAGGCAAAACAGGAATAGGCGAGGTGGACTCATGGACAACGGCCGAGGAGTTCGCTGCAGGTCTCCTGGAGGATCGTGGCATCACCGACTCTTCAGGCTGGACAGTGGCCATCACACAGGACGACGCCGTGACGGAGACGCCTGGCCTCGAGTACGTCCTGGACCTGATTGGAGAGCGGGAGCTGCCCCCAGCCTTCCCTAGATGTTGCACAAGCCTCCTGCCTACCGGTATATTTATCATAGAACCTGTTTTTGTTGTGATCTAGATCCCTTGCAAGGGCAGTTGTGCCCCATTGTTATCCCGATGCTGGTCGGAGGCTGAATGAATATTGTGATATACCTCACCAGGTCTGATATACATTTAATTCTGGCGACAGTTAATGTAAGTAAATCTCAGAAACTTTTGGGATTTGTAGGCCATAGACCAATAGGAAATGCTGCTGTGCCAGTCCAACTTGAGCATTGTTGGCTCAAGTTGGACTGTGCCCCATGATGGTAGCGATGATGGACGGGGGTGAGGGTGATGAACACAGTTACAATGTGGCAGTTAACTACAGTTCACTATCAGTAAACAGTCTGGCAAACGCAATCACACAGCACTGGCTCATGTCACCAAGCTTTCCTGCGTGTTGATAACTATATTATTATATCTTATAATGAAATAATATGTCATTACAATAAGAAAATATAATATTGACCAGACCACACACTAGAAGGTGAAGGAACGACGACGTTTCGGTCCGTCCTGGACCATTCTCAAGTCGAGAATGGTCCAGGACGGACCAAAAACTAAAATATAATATTTTAGTTTGAAATGTAAAAAAGTTAAAGAGAATTGTTAAATAATATTTAGGTCACTAGATGTTTCTGTGTGAATTTTGTTATTTATTTCTGCAATGTTGATGTGTGTGAAGGTTTAGAACATTGTTACACTAAGGTGGTGTTACCTACAGGAACACAGCCGGAGCGTCGGTCATCAGTGCCTGTCCTGCTGCCAGAAGTTGAAGAGGTGACGGATGGTGCGCCAATTGAGGAATCCCCCGTGGTCGCCCGCAGGTATGACGCTGCTACAAGTCTCGCGCATGCTCTTCTTTCATCTTCTTCACTTCATCTCGCCAGTTTGATTTAATATCTTTCATTATATATCTTTTTCTTCTTGTTATTTTTTAAGTTTTCTTCTGCTTCCCTCTTTATCTCATGAAGGCCTGAAATGCTTCACTGGCAGCTAAGTAACCAGTGGAGGTAAAGTAACTTAAGGAGACATGCATTACCCAACTGGAGGCTGCTTCGGTAACCAGCAGAGAAGTCGCTGTGGCAGCCACCATCCCTCCCAAAATACATCAGAGCTTTCCTCTGCCTTAACCTTCTGTCATCTTCTGCCTCAACCTTCTGTCATTTCCTCTCCATCAACTACAACGCTTCCTTTACGGCCTTCAGGACGAGGTCACCCCCAGCCTTGACGAGGAAGCTCTCTAGAGAAGCCCTTGAAGCGCACGACCAGGTGATGAGCAACAGCTCGGAGGCAGCTGGTGATGGTATAGGACTCTCTAGGACCTCGGCCCTCAACAACCGCTACTTCGACGACAAGAGCAAAAGCAGGTCGCTGGACAACCTCTTAGAAGGACCTCCTGATATCCAGGTGTGGTAATTGGTACAAATTTGACTCTATTTAATTGACATGTATTCTGCTGTTTTTGTTGCTGTCATTATTATCATTATTATTATTATTATTATTTATTATTATTATTGTGTATTTATGGTCTCTTTTCCCAGTTTTTGAGTGTCTTCGTAACTTCTTACATTGTACTCCTTCGTTAGTGTATATGAGGGAGCAAGAGAGAGCAGAGCAAGAGCTACGTGCACCTACCATCCCCGTCTCACAGGATGGGGAGCCACACATAGGATACGAATTGAATGAACTAGCTGCAGCTCAACTTCTTTATAGTGCTATCACTTTCACTTCCTTTTATATTTAATTTAGGCCTGGCCTTTTCCCCTGATTCTGGGACTCTTAATTATTTTCAATACCATTAACTCCGAGATCAATCACATTGACAACTTCATTAGAATTCAACACCATAACCCTTCACTACAAGCCTCCATCACAGCCCTCCATCACAGCCCTCCATCACAGCCCTCCATCACAGCTCTCCATCACAGCCCTCCATCACAGCCCTCCATCACAGCTCTCCATCACAGCCCTCCATCACAGCCCTCCATCACAGCCCTCCATCACAGCTCTCCATCACAGCCCTCCATCACAGCCCTCCATCACAGCTCTCCATCACATCCCTCCATCACAGCCCTTACCACAGTCCTCCATCACAGCCCTCCATCACAGCCTGTCCTCTCGAGTTGTCACGTCACAAAAAGTATATATTCAGTTGCCCGAATCAAACCAAACTATTGGACCCACGAATTAAAAACGTATCAGCCCGTCAATTTTGCGAGCCGCTCTGACTTATAGTACATACTATTTTGACGTGGGGGATTTTGACGTCAAAACACAATGTATTATTCGAGAGGATAGGTTGCACCACAGCCCCCCCCCCTCCCCTCACTACTGGTCCCACAACAGCCCTCACTACCTAACTCGAGCTCTCTCCCAAAGATGCTGGGCCTGTCAAGGAGTCGTCTGAACGAGCGGTACCACAGTGTGGAGCGCCTCACCGAGCAGAATGGCCTTTACAATGGAAGAGCCGCACAGGACCTCGATCACCTGGAGTCTGTGTCCCAGAGAGGAGTGGCCAAGTCCCTCTCAGGCTCCAGGACCTGGAACAAATATGACCTGCTGGAGGAGGAGGAGAGGTGGGCATCTGCATGTTAGGGAGCTATGGAATACATCGCTGGAGAAGCTCATGATATTGTGGCAGTAACTACAAAATTAATGAAACATATTTAGTACCAGTATTCTCATGCAACATTAGGATATTATTTTTATTTTGTTTCTGGAAACTGCATAAGTACTTAATTTGTACTTAACTTTTGGAAGACCACATTTATCCTTGGAAACTGCCTGATCTAACTCAATGAAATTTAAACCTTTGAATATTTTCATATTTTCGAGTTTTCTGATTTTGTTGGGTACACTCAGATAACTAAAACAATTCCCAGTAACCCTGTCTCTCACCTTCCATTACAGAAATGGAGTGGAAGGCGCTGATGACGAGACCAAGACAGAGTACTCGCGAGTGTCCAGCAGGTACATCAAGGGTGGGCAGGCAGGACGGAGGGTTCACGGGCCAGGCTCCCACCATTCCACCAGGGCCTACATTGAACGGGAATACCTCAAGTCTTCAGCTATGTCTGACACCAGTGAGGCTCCCTCTTTAGGTGAGCATATGAAATATATAATTGCCCGATACCTTCTAATTGTACTGTATACCGTTCTTACTAAATTGCTGCCCCTGTTGAAGTGAGTTAAGATATGCACAATATTACAAAAATAAGGTGAATATGAATAAATAATGAGGCTGTACGAAGGGATCGAATGTGTGTCCCTAAGGCCATATGATGGGGTCAAACACGTATCTTTGAGGCTGTATGATGGAATCGAACATACATCCCTGGACACCTCTGGCTCATACATCGCCAACTGAGTATAGTGCCCGAGAAATCCAAGGACGTGGGTTCAATCCCATCATACAATCTCATTATTTACCCACGTTAAAGATATTTATTATAGTTGTTACAGAGCTTGTTTATTTCGTTAGTGTCTTCTTATTCCTTGCTTCCGTGCAGCTTCTCATGTGCGGAGAGTGCGCGTCCCATCCCAAGCTTCAGATGTAGACCAGTTCCTGGATGACCTCTTCATGCCAGTTCTCAACTCTCAGCTGGACGAGCTATCAGATGCTCGCTCCCTGGCTGCCTCTATCAAGGGTGGAGGACACACAGCTGCACCTCAGCCACTGATGCACCTGGACGACGACCTCGATGATACGATTGCCTTGGCCAGGTATGACAGGTGTCATCAGTTACTGTCGATTGCAGTTGTGTATTTATAGTTTCGTTTGTATATATCTACTAATGAATCACATTTGATTTATAATCATTTTTATTTCAGGACGCGACAGGGATCTTTTCGGCGCCAAAGTCTATTACACGTCTTACAAGATGTAGATCTTAATGAATCTTTGACCACTCTAACAACTATACCCTTATTAACGGAGGCTCTGAAAGGTGGGGGTCAGGGAGCAGCCGAGGTGGAGACGGGAGCGTCTCCGGCTGCTGCTGGAGGAACGTTCTTCTCTAACATGTCAATGTCTGGAACACCTGGCTCGCCTCCTCCCTTCATCCCTGCTGGAACAGTGCCACTGTATTCTGCAGGAGGTCAATAGTTGCTAATTTATTACTGTATTATGGTTCATGAAAAATGCAAGTCGCTATTTTATATAACATGATGATAGTATCAACAATGAAGAACTATAAAAATGTTTTGCAGAATGGAAATGATTAGGTGCTGCAATATAAATTGTTTCCTGCAGGAGTTAATATGCCAGGGATGCAGACAGCAGGCCAGGCTGCAGGTGTGGATCCCAACCAGCTCCTCATCCATCAACAGAGCATCCAGCGAGCCTTCATTCAGTCAGCTGTGGCACAGAACATACAGATCCAGCAGCATTTGATGGCCCAGAACCAAGCACTTCAGCAGCTCCTTGCCCAGTCTATTCCGGTGAGTCTTCCAATCAACTTCTGGTGATAGGTTGTCCTTGTATGAGGTGATGATGAGTAGTCTTCATATGAATGATAGCTGTTAATTTCTAGTACAATGAATATAGACAAACCTTTTAGATGACTTTTAGGATGTATTCCTTCTCTTCGACTGCTGAGCAAGATGTTTCCTGCAGCACATGGGCATGGCATCACGGGACTTTAGTCCACAGAGTGCCCTCGGCCTAAATATTCTCGGCATGATGTCAATGTCTGGGATGCCTATGACGTCAGGTATTCCCATAGCTCAAGGGGTGCCTATGGCATCTGGTATGTCCATGGCATCTGGTTTGTCCATGGCATCTGGAATGCCCATGATGTCTGGCATCCCTCTGACCTCTGGAATACCTATGACAGCTATTCCAAATATGGGAATGGCTGGCATGGCGGGCATGGCGGGCATCCCGGGCATGACAGGGGCAGCTGATGGAACCCAGGTTGGCAGGGCTCACTACCAGGTGGGCGGAGACACGTACTCCCTCCCTCAGAGACGCGGCGTCAACAACAACAATAAGGTACCACTGAAGGGGAGGAGCAGCGCAGCAGGAGAGGGACTTGCTTGTAGACCAGAGACACCCTGCAAGGGAGGGGAAGCTTCTAGTGTCACCACTCTAGTACTGCCTTACTCACACACCTAGCCGCAGGGGAAAGATTGCAGTCACCTAGGACAACTAACCCAACCCTTCGGACTCTGATAGACAGATGTGTGTGTGTGTACTGCTGAGGCTCGTTGGTCTCCCTTGATGCTGACTTTTGTACTTAACTCAATGAGGATTTCATGTGTCGACGCAGCCTGGTATTAACCATCGGTGTCAGACTCAGCTTCGGTGCTTCTGATTACTGTCCATATCATTTTAAGCTTCCTGCTTCCTCTGACCTGACATACACTTCTCTGAGTTCTTTAAAACGTCTTCACTGATAATGTATATACAATAAAGTGACAGTTAAAGATCTACTTAAATTATATACAATAAACAAAGTCACGGTTAAAGATCTACTTAAATTATATACAATAAACAAAGTCACGGTTAAAAATCTTCTTAAATTAGTTTGCGGTATATAAATTAAACAGTACAAATATTAAATCTTATCTAATTTATCTTCACTTTAAACTGGAAAATAAACAAAATAAAAGAGAAATATTTTAACAGCATTTATCCTGCAGGTATCGTTCCAAGAGCCAGAACAAAGTGAGTTGTGGAGCACCGAGAAGGCAGGAACAACAGAAGGAGGCACTGAAGGGTCACCTCCGGCCGGAGCTGGTAGAGTGGCCGGCCCTCCAATGTCTCCTCCACCTCCTTTGGTGATGTTAAGTCCAGGGCCTGCGTCACCCATGTTCTCCCAGGCTGCTGCTCTCTCCTCCCCTGTAGGAGAACAAAGTCAGAAGAAGAACTCAAATGCCTCAGATGATGCCAAGGTGAGGAATCACACATGAAACCTTTCCTATGTTGTTGGTGCTTCTTATAGTGGTGTTGGAGGGATTGAGACGAACACCTTTGTCAGTCATTCTTGTGGTGAGGGAGAGAGACAGAGATTAGTTATGGCACCGTGAAATATTGTTGTGTTTATTCTCCTGTAGTCAAACATTCTTAGAGCAAGATAGAACATTTCTTTATAGATAAAATGTAGCAAACATGGTTTAAATTGTGGTTTTTTAAAGTATACTTTGTATGTTAGTTGGTATTAGTTATTTACTGTAACTGGTTTATTGCTTTAAATAAGATTAGAAAATCTTGCTATAAGTCGCAATAGTAGATTTGGAGGCACAATCGGAAAAATGTCTCCTTGGCCTGAATGATTGTCAGCTCACCAACTTTATTGGTACCAGCCAAAGGTTCAAATTTGCTTGCCAGGGCGCTTTTGTACAGGCCCATTTAAACTATCTTCCCCCATACAGTATGTCCACCAATCAAATATGGTAGAAAAATATTATTTCATTGTCAGAGATTCATGCTTCAAGGAGTCATTTCTCTCATTCCGAGTCACGCCTCCATTTTTATCACATGCACCTCACAAGCGGGTGGAGCCGCCAGCACCACCTCCCTCTAATGCACCTGCATGCCTCTGGCTCCCTCTCCACACTCCAGATGTTCCATGACTTTAGCCTAGGACCGGGCTCTCCCGGCTCACCTCCAGGACCCATCTACGGCCCCACTGAGTCCCCATGGGGAGGTCTGGTCCCTCCCCCTCCGCCTATGCCCACACATCTACAAGTCGAGGTACGTTAAACAGAAGGTGATAGGGAAGAGAGATAGAAAGAGAGAGAGGGAGAGAGAGAGGGAGAGAGAGAGGGAGAGAGAGAGAGAGAGAGAGAGAGAGAGAGAGAGAGAGAGAGAGAGAGAGAGAGAGAGAGAGAGAGAGAGAGAGAGAGAGAGAGAGAGAGAGAGAGAGAGCATCTTACTTTTTACCTAAGATATTCCTATCACAGAAAACAAGTATTAGGTCAAGATCATGGTGTTGGGCGGAACTGTGAGAATCTCTCTGGCCAGCACACACACCACGAGCTGATATCCTCATTACTGTGCTTCTTCCTTCTTTAAATAACTTTATCGTTCATACAGCTTAGCAGCAGTAGACGGGCGCTTACTGAATGAGAAGTAGCTGTGCACTCTGAACTTAAGTACAAGGCACATGCAAGTGCACTTAGATACCAAGCACTAGATATGGATCAGTAAAAATTATTATTTAAGTAATGGGGCTTGGTTTTTTATTTACTAGACTTAGCCTAAGAAAACTTATTCATGGATAGCGCCCACACCTCACATGCCTCGCGTCCAGGACCAGCCTGGTCTCGAGCCCTGGATAGGGAGAGAGGATTGGGCACCCATCCATGACCGTTCCTTCCAATTCACCCAACAGTAATTGGTGACTTGGTTGTAAGCCGATTGGTAAATTTTGATCCTTGAATAACTAACAGGGTAAGACATAAGCTTTTGGAAGGCTGAGCTCTAAGCCTGCCAACAATTCTGGAGTCATTCGCTCCTCTACCCTCCAAATAAGTCTTGCAAATAAACAAAATACTTGAATAAATATTGGATTTGGCAGGACGGAGCTGGTGGCTTCATGGACCCGTACCAGAGGGCCAAGACGGTGAGGATCGGCAAGTGGCGGTGGCCCCCTCCCAAGGGTGAGGGGGACCCAAATGACTCTTTCCTGCAGTTTAAGATTCGTCAACAGACCAAGAAGATGTCCAGACAACATGATGGCAGGGTGCGTATGTGTGTGTTTGCTACAGGATGTGGGCCAGGTTCGTGGTTCTCATCTTATTTTCATTTTTGATCAATATTTTATACATTCTGAGTTATCTCATTCATCCGCTACTTAAGTTAAGAGTCAATTTTTTCTTGGACATTTAAGCAGGATGATATACTGCCCAGTACCGCTGGGAACCTTTCACATTCCCTGGTTGATATTGATCGGTTCCAAAATTACCAACAAAGATTAGGGTTCAGTGTGATAAAGTCACACCTGGGGTGAGAGTAGTGGTTAGTGTGGTCACGTCACACCTGGGGTGAGAGTAGTGTTTAGTGTGGTCACGTCACACCTGGGGTGAGAGTAGTGGTTAGTGTGGTCACGTCACACCTGAGGTGAGAGTAGTGTTTAGTGTGGTCACGTCACACCTGGGGTGAGAGTAGTGTTTAGTGTGGTCACGTCACACCTGGGGTGAGAGTAGTGTTTAGTGTGGTCACGTCACACCTGAGGTGAGAGTAGTGTTTAGTGTGGTCACGTCACACCTGGGGTGAGAGTAGTGTTTAGTGTGGTCACGTCACACCTGAGGTGAGAGTAGTGTTTAGTGTGGTCACGTCACACCTGAGGTGAGAGTAGTGTTTAGTGTGGTCACGTCACACCTGGGGTGAGAGTAGTGTTTAGTGTGGTCACGTCACACCTGGGGTGAGAGTAGTGTTTAGTGTGGTCACGTCACACCTGAGGTGAGAGTAGTGTTTAGTGTGGTCACGTCACACCTGAGGTGAGAGTAGTGTTTAGTGTGGTCACGTCACACCTGGGGTGAGAGTAGTGGTTAGTGTGGTCACGTCACACCTGGGGTGAGAGTAGTGGTTAGTGTGGTCACGTCACACCTGGGGTAGAAGCAAGAAGTGCGTTTCCACTGAAGCTGGACGTTGATGGTGCCAGGGAAACCCTTAAAATACAACTTACCTTATGAATAAATCCACAAGGGCCGTGATGAGGCTTCTGTGCTGTGCTTCTTACTGTGTTTCTTCCTTCTTTAAATAATTAGCATTTATACAGTTTAGCAGGAGTAGATGAGAGCTTATTGAATACAACTTACCTTAATTTACCTGAGGGTCACTAAGACTCTAGTGGCCTCTACGGGAACAGGAAGCCTTATAAATCCTTTAACTATCTTTGTTTCTCATGTTGTAGGACTCCCAGCGGCCCAGTCGTGATGAAAGCTTCACCATAGAGTGGGAGGAGTTTGAGGTGGGCGGCCTACCCAGCAGCCCTGAGCAGAGTCCTCGCAAGGACTCACAGGAACAGATGATGTATATGCATCAGTTGCAACAGCAGCAGCTACAGCAGATGCAAGCCCAGCAGCAAGCTGTTGCTCTTCAGCAGACTAATGGCCACGGGCCGAGCACTCCCAGGGAGAAGACTCCTGCCAAGGAGAAAGGAGCGACGCGGCGCCGACGGGACTCCTGGGACAACCCGGTAGATGAAGGCAAGTCATCGGGCATCGGTAAGCTCAAGATCTCCCGGGAGATGAGAGAGAAGCTGGAGGCACTTACTTCATCTCACCCATCTAGGTAAGTGTATTCACAAGAGGACGATGTCAGACATTTCTAATTGCCTGGTTTGTAGTTCATCTCTTAAATACAAGTTGGTTAATGGTGACACTGCATGTAGTTCATCTCTCACATATGGGGTTGGGTTTAGTTATGTCAATATTCAGAGAGTTATTAAGGTCAGCACAATGGGTTATTAATCAACAAGCAAGTATACTTTTGCCTTAAACATAGTCCAGGACTAGAGTATACTCTGAGTGTGTATATACCAAGAAGTGGAATACTGCTCTCAGAGAACTTTACAGTACTGGTAGAGCCATTGCTGTAGAGGTTTCTCTACAACTGCAGTAATTGTATATTTTACTAATATTTGTGTTGAATTTTCTATATCAGAACACAAAAAGGTCCGGTGTTGCAGCAGCAACAACAACAGCAGCAGCAGCAACAACAGCAGCAACAGCAGACGAGAGGCATCAAGAAGCTGGAGGCTCACCGCCGATTCCTTCTGCAGCACCAACTGGAAGGGGACAAGTGGGACACAGTCGACTCCGTCAAGCAAGTAACGTCTAAGGTAGACAAAGTGGCATCAGTGCCCCCTCCGCCACCAGTAGCTCCCCCAAGTATGTACATGAACCGGAGGGCGCCGTCCCCTGCACCCTCTGTGTCCTCCCAGGAGAGCTCCCCCGTCATCCCCCAGCCCAGGTCTCCCCCGCCACCCATCCAGCCCTCAGGGTTCCGTACGAGTGTAGACTACCATACTGACAACAGTGACCGCCGTACCTCGGTCTCCACAATGCAAACAGAAAAGACAGAACATTTTGAACGTAAGTATACCTGGAATTCAATTTAGTTTGTTACTGTATATATATTTAATTATTCCAAAATCTTCCAGCAAATAAAACTAATTTGTTATGATTTGATCCCTTTGCATTTAAGCGTTCTTGAATAAACTTTTGTTATATATATATATATATATATATATATATATATATATATATATATATATATATATATATATATATATATATATATGTCGTACCTAGTAGCCAGAACGCACTTCTCAGCCTACTATGCAAGGCCCGATTTGCCTAATAAGCCAAGTTTTCATGAATTAATTGTTTTTCGACTACCTAACCTACCTAACCTAACCTAACCTAACTTTTTCGGCTACCTAACCTAACCTAACCTATAAAGATAGGTTAGGTTAGGTTAGGTAGGGTTGGTTAGGTTCGGTCATATATCTACGTTAATTTTAACTCCAATAACAACAAATTCACCTCATACATAATGAAATGGGTAGCTTTATCATTTCATAAGAAAAAAATTAGAGAAAATATATTAATTCAGGAAAACTTGGCTTATTAGGCAAATCGGGCCTTGCATAGTAGGCCGAGAAGTGCGTTCTGGCTACTAGGTACGACATATATATATATATATATATATATATATATATATATATATATATATATATATATATATATATATATATATTACATTTTGTTGTATTTTAATATTTTAATCCAGTTGAGGAGTCGTCAGAGTTCCTACAGCCAGTCGACAGTGCACCAGTTTTGGTCGACAAGGAAATGGAGAAGAGATCATATGAGGGCCTCAAGACTAGCCTCCTGCCAGCCCCTCATGGCTCCCACATCTCGTACTCCCGCGTCCCCTGGTCGCTCACACTCAGGAAAGAGGTAAATCTCAAACTGAGTTCTTGTCATGGCTTTTCTCCTCAATATTTCAGCACTTCTTCACTCCATCCCATGGATGGGTTATCCCGTCTTCATATCGTACCTCAAATCCTGTCCTTTGTATCCCAGCTCCTGCCCTGTCCTCATATCCAAGTTCCTATCCTGTCCTCGTATCCCAGATCGTATCCTCTCCTCATATCCAAGTTCCTATCCTGTCCTCATATCCCAGCTCTTATCCTCTCCTCATATCTAAGTTCCTGTCCTGTCCTCTTAACACGGAATATATTAATATGAGTCACAATAACGTGACTAAAGTATGTTGACCAGACCACACACTAGAAGGTGAAGGGACGACGACGTTTCGGTTCGTCCTGGACCATTCCAGGTCCAGAACGGACCGAAACGTCGTCGTCCCTTCACCTTCTAGTGTGTGGTCTGGTCAACAATTACATATGACTACTAATTAATTCCCATTCCCCACCAGCTGTTTTCTCCCGGAGAGCAGCTTTACGGGGAGGCCCTCCACCTGGTGTTCTGCCAGGTGGTGCTCGACGTGTACGCCGGACACACCCCCAGGATCACCCTCGACCAGCGCACCCAGATGAGGAAGGTGGGTCACTGCTCTCTTCCCCCATGTAAGCAAGACTGGTGAAAATTAGATTTGTTAGGCAACTAATATTCCATTCCATATGATTTGAATTGTTGTCATTGAATTTGTTAATTTAATGTTGCAGATGCTGGACAACCGAGGCGTAACCCCCAACAACACTTTCTCCCCTCACCACAAGAACTCCCTGAAGAAGGAGATCGTGGAGATGGCCAAGTCTTGGCCACTGTACTTCGCTGCCATCTTCCCAGTCACTGTGAGTCTCTCCTTCAGTGTGGTTAACAACACCTTGGTGGTCTTCTTATTTGTAAAGTCCTCGTGGCAAGGGGTTATATTAAATAGGCCTGTGGTAATGTGGTTGATGTTATAGTGTATGTTACTGTTGTTATTATCTGGAGTTGGTTGTGTTGATGGTGTGTTTGTGTGGCAGGGCTCACGTAAGGCCGGTGATGTGGAGATGCTGGCGGTGTCACACTCAGGCATCAGACTCCTGCGACGCGACCACAATCACTTCACTATTCTCAGTACCTTCAAGTAAGTCCCACTTCCCATTGCGCGCACGCACGCACACACACGCACACACACACACACACACACACAAACACACACACACACACACACACACACACACACACACACACACACACACACACACACACACACACACACACACACACACACGCACGCACACACAAAGGTTTGCCACCAGACTAGTACCCGGGCTGAGAGATATGACCTTCGAGGAGAGGCTACGGGAATTAAACCTCACGTCGCTGGAAGACAGAAGAGTTAGGGGTGGACATGATCACCACGTACAAGATTCTCAGAGGAATTGACAGGGTAGATAAAGACAGGCTATTTAGCACAAGTGGCACACGCACTAGGGGACACAGGTGGAAACTGAGTGCCCAAATAAGCCACAGAGATATTAGAAAGAATTATTTTAGTGTCTGAGTGGTTGACAAATGGAATGCATTAGGCAGTGATGTGGTGGAGGCTGACTCCATACACAGTTTCAAGTGTAGATATGATAGAGCCCAATAGGCTCAGGAATCTGTACACCAGTTGATTGACAGTTGAGAGGCGGGACCAAAGACCCCGAGCTCAACCCCCGCAAGCACAAATAGGTGAGTACACACACACAATCCTATCGCTCCAATAATGCACAAACTCCCCATTAACTCATAACACACCTGTCCGTAGTTATACAACCATTATAATCCAATAAATGTGACCAGACAACAGCACACGTGTTATATAATAACATATTCATGATTAGACCTGTAATAATATACTTGTAATATCATACCATACTTGTAATATCATACCATTATGGGACTGTGTGATAAGATCAGAGTTGATTATCCCTGTGGTGTGCAGCACCGTGGAAGAAGCTGAGTGTCCCAGGCCAGGGTCACTAAGACTGGTGGCCACCGGGGGCACCAGGATGCTCCTCTACACTCCCAGGGCCAAGCAGATAGCTGCCATTCTCCACAAGTACATCTCCATACCCAAGCCCGTGAGTACTTGATCCTTGTCTGCTTCCTTCCCCCCTTGTGTACCACATCCTCGCTCTGCGTGTGTTTATCATATATGTGTTTATCATATATCATATTTTGCATATCTGTGTTTTTCTGTCTCTCACTCTCCTTTTATGTCTGGCTCCCTGTATATATGTTTGGGCTCTCTCTCTCTCTCTCTCTCTCTCTCTCTCTCTCTCTCTCTCTCTCTCTCTCTCTCTCTCTCTCTCTCTCTCTCTCTCTCTCTCTCTCTCTTGTAACTTAGATTAGGATTAATCAGGAATAGTGCTGATGTTTCTAATGAAACTACAAGCTAAGAACTATTATCCTGCATCACCCCATCTTACTGAGAAGTTCCCGTGGGGGAGAAGGATCAGACTGGAAGGAAGCTGCAAGCGATGAGTACCATAGCCCAGTCTGTTCCTGATATTTGTTATTGTTCTAACGGAAGTAGTAGAATCTTACACGTTTTTTGCGAATAATGGCGTCGACAAGGAATTGGCGATGTCTTATGGATCAGCACACTCACTTAATGTGTCTACACTAAGCTGATGAAACAAGTCAAGGCAGAGCAAGTTACACAATGTCTCATAGAACACTTGATCAAACTACATAGCTTATCTTAAAATGTGGCTACTTGAATTCAACCCCATCAAACACCCAACCCTCAAATCTGAAAAAAATAAAAGAATTGACGATGTTTCGGTCCATCCTGGACCATTATCAAGTCGATGACTTGATAATGGTCCTGGGCGGACCAAAACGTCGTAAATTCTTTTATTTTCCGATTTGATAGTCAGGTGTTTAATTATCAACCACGCTATTTTGACTTATTGTCAACCCTGTCACATGCAAGGTAAGGAGAATGGGGACCTGGGTGAGAAGGCGAAAATGGATGTACATGGTAAGGGAGACAAATACTTGCATAGGAAAAGTGAAGGAACCTAAGAATAGGCTTCTCACCAAGTTTGGCACCACTAAGAGTAGACGTATCTCCAAGCCTGGTACCAGGGGCAATAAGTAACAGCAGCTACTGGTGAATATGTGTGTAGGCTTCAACAGTCTGAACGAGGAAGCCATCAAGAGTATTATATAATTAATGTGAGGTCAGTTCTGTGGGAAGCATCCCAAGTTTAACAGTACCAACCTGAATAAACAGAACAAAACTAGGAACAGAACAGAGGTTCGCTACAAACCAACTCAGCATTGAGCACAGAAGGCTGAACGTGGCCAAAATTAAACCTAAATTATATGGCATAAATAATTATTCACATATGAATAATTACGAATTGAACATACAAGACCGATGAACTATTCGGCTGATACAATTTAATAAGAGATATAGCTTTTATGCCATGAACTGCTAACACACGGGGCATTCTTGCCAAGGAACAGTGAATTTTAGCATTGTCTCTGAGTTGAGGAAACAAGTCATGCCAGTATAGAAAACGGGAGCGGAAAGTGTTTTTTGTGGCCAGCGGAAGTTAAGAATTTCAGTAGTGGACACCCACACCCACCACTTATCCTTCTCCCCCTGTCCTCCCCTTACCCTTCAGCCCCTCTCCTATTCCCTTACCCTCCCCCTTACCCTTCCTTCCCACCCCAATCTAGCCCTCCCAACTCCCCCTTAGCCTCCACGGACTGTGTCCCCTGGACGCGGTTCAAGGACAGTGATCATGGACACAATCAATGGACACGGTTCATGAACACGGTCCAAGGCCCCCATGAACACGGTTTATGAACACGGTCCAAGGCCCCCATGAACACGTCCCATGAACACGGTCCAAGGCCCCCATGAACACGGTCCATGAACACGGTCCAGGGATACTGCCCGTGGAAATGGGTGAAGCAAACGGGTGTGAAACACGGGCGAGAGACACCTGTTGTCATCATCCCACTTTCTATCCGTGGCCATCTGCGATTCCTCACGCATCTGTCTGCGCGGGTTCCCAGGCAGAAATATTCTAGCCTGGAACACCACGAGGATTTATTGATGCTCCAGCCTATACGAGCTGCTTTATTCAGATGTCACATGGTAACACTTCACCAGCCGAAGGTCAGGATTAGTTGTGGTCTTTGCCTCGCCACATTTAGACGGCACCTTCAAATGTGTGATTGTGAGAAGTGTTCACTTAGCCATCGTGTGATGTTCATATTGGCATAGTTGAACAGCTCACAAAAGGATGATAGTGGCAAAAAGAGATATACTGAGTTGAGTCGTTATCCGGTGATAGCGTTTGGCCCATACGGGCTCAGCTCCGGTACAGTACAACAAGTGTATGCAGGGATAGTGATCATGGAGGAAGAAGCTGGGGGAAGGGTAAGATGTCAGTGAAGGGAAGGTTGCGGTGACCTTATCCTGTCTTGACTTCCCTGATCTGACAACCACCTTAACCAGTCTCAAGTGTGTTCAGTAGAGTCTACCAGGCTGGGAGTGTGTTCAGTAGAGTCTACCAGGCTGGGAGTGTGTTCAGTAGCGTCTACCAGGCTGGGAGTGTGTTCAGTAGCGTCTACCAGGCTGGGAGTGTGTTCAGTAGAGTCTACCAGGCTGGGAGTGTGTTCAGTAGAGTCTACCAGGCTGGGAGTGTGTTCAGTAGCGTCTACCAGGCTGGGAGTGTGTTCAGTAGCGTCTACCAGGCTGGGAGTGTGTTCAGTAGCGTCTACCAGGCTGGGAGTGTGTTCAGTAGCGTCTACCAGGCTGGGAGTGTGCTCAGTACAGTCTACCAGACTGGGAGTGTGTTCAGTACAGTCTACCAGGCTGGGAGTGTGTTCAGAACAGTCTACCAGGCTGGGAGTGTGTTCAGAACAGTCTACCAGGCTGGGAGTGTGTTCAGAACAGTCTACCAGGCTGGGAGTGTGTTCGGTACAGTCTATCACATCTCATCAGATTCCGGAAGCGAGTAATTATACATAATCGCACGAGGATAATTCCTGCTGCCATTGTCTCATCAACCAGCTGGAATAAAATATGAGGCGGCCTCACCCACTTGACGTTGGAAGGGGGTCAAACAACTCCGGTGTCTCTTGTTTACATCTCCAACAACAACGCTAAATTCCCAACCACCTGTAGGCCACGTCGCCCCCGTGAACCAGGCCCTGTTGTTCTAATATACTGCTGTTTGAGCAGTGCGTATAATTCACCCGTATGCCAAAATGGTAATCTTATGAAGGATGTGGTGAGGATAAAGAATTTCTGGTGAGCAAGGAGACCGGAAGGGAAGTAATGCTGCTGTCTTCACGTAGCTTCCTTAGTGGCCCCGGCAGCCATTAGTGTTGACAATCTGGCCACACCGGGCCCCAGGGCCCCTCAGCTCCTCCTCCTCGTGCTCCCTCGTCTGTAGTGTTGAGACGGCTGGCGCGGGGACGTGGCTGTGTGGTTGACTTGCCTCTGACGCCCCCCGGACTCCGCCCGGACGCCCCCAGACGCCCATGGATAATATTGCTAGCATCGAGGGAATGTTGCTCAGCAAGGCTTGCAGACTACTGGCTTGCAATTGCTGTTATTGCATTCAGGTAGATATCTATGACAAGGTAGATATCTTTATTGTTGGCCATGTGAACGTTATAGATCTGATGAAAATGTGATTTAAGCTCGTATCTGGTTTATTAAGCTTTGTGTAGCAAGAGATTTATTCAACCGGACATTATCGAAAATATTATTGCCGCACATTGATATTGAAATAATTGATATTGAAAAAAATTATATTGAAACGATATTATTGTTTCATTATTATAAAACCACCCGCCCACCAATCCGTGGTTCACCACTTGTCTCTCTTAGAGGGAGGGAGGGGGGGGGGCGTTGGGTCGCGCTACAACCAAAGGGTAACAATGTGGCTTGTTACAGACTCTATAATACCAGGAATTCGCAATAACGTGATATATCTACGGAACAAAATCTTTGTAGCCGGACGGGAATCGAACCAACGTCTTTGCTCAATCCCGTGGGCGTGTTGGACCAGGGGTCCTATGTCCCCCGGTTGATGAGTTGACCCGAGATTGTAAATAAAATCTCAGGGGGGAGGGGGTCGGAAATATTATCCTTGTCATTCGAATGGCTTCGTTATGGCAAGAGAAGTTATAAATGGCTAATTACGGGCATGTACCGTCAATTGTATATTTTATTTATTTATATTTACAAGATACATTGGGTTTGTGAGAGTATATTGCATGTATTTATTCTTGTAAAGCCATTAGTACGCGCAGCGTTTCGGGCAGTAGGGCATATCGGGCAAATATTAAGCCAAAGTACATGCTTGAAGGCTTGATAATGGTGCAGGACGGACCGAAACGTCGTCGTCCCTTCACTTTCTAGTGTGTGGTTTGGTCAACATATTTCAGCCACGTTATTGTGACTCCTCGTCTGATTATTTACAGGGACTCACGAGGCCCCTTTAACATAGTAATTGTGGGGCCTGGATCTAAGATGTTCACTCGTGTTCTAGGAAAAACGCGACACTGAATAAGCTAACAGGTTCCAGCACCAGCCTTGACGCCTGAATTCTGTCCTAATATAAAATCCCCCAGGTGAGAATATATTATAGGTTATATCCAGCATTATGCTCTAATCTGAGAGAGTCGTTACAGCCGACATCATTCGCTGTGCCTCGATCCTCATCTCGCACGGTTGTTTCACGAGTCCTCTTACTGGCGGGAGGGGGGCGTTGCCCGGCGTTGATTATAACTGAACAGATCTTAGTTAAGTTTGCTGGCTTGCACGGAGGTAGAAATTGGCGGTGCGCAGCGTGCGGGCAGGTGTGACGGGTACGGCAGGAGTGAAGGGTAGGACAGGTGTTGCTGGGAATTATAATGGTGCCGGGCTTGACTGACCACGCCCTTCACGGCTACCTACAGAGCCGAGTGTTCTTCTAATGTTTGGTCATGACACTCGCGAAGTGTCTTGCAGTTTGCTGCTTCATTATTTTCGCCCACATTTAAGTTTGCTGGACACAATATCTTGATTACGAAAGTTCTCATTTTAATTGTTCCGACATTATTT